CGATTAATCGGAGAAAAATGCTTTCGAATGTCACGTGCCCTTTTGGTGCCTCGTATAGTATAAACAACTGAGACACCTGAGCATTAGAGTCCTGAACTATTTCTGTCTCGGATGTCGCAGTTGAATAAATGGACATGGTGTCCACACCGTTGAATGTGTGGACATCGCTGGTTCATACCGCTACAATATAGGGCAGCTGATCGCATCGAATTGGAAGGCCACTACTCTAACTTTTACAGCGGAGCTGTTAAAGGCTTGTTTCCCCAGGATCGTGTGCGTCAGTAAACTAATGATGACACTAAACTCTAGACAGCTACCGCCACGTATGAGCGACGGCGGCAACCAGACAATCGGTGTGCCAGTTGTCTGGTTGCCGCCGTTGATCATAGATGGCGGCAACCTCTCCAGCCTTTCCACTCTGGCTTGCCGACTTGCGGCCGGCCATTGCTTCATTCCCACCATAGTACAGCTTCGCTGGTCTTCCTTCTACACCAGAGTGGAAAGGCCAAAAAAGATTTTTCCCAAGAGAAAAAATTACACACTGAAATTTCTTCATGTAAACTTGACCACCGTGATAAACCGGCGAGAAAAGGCTAGATCTCTAAATTACGATGTTATAAAAAGGCGCCAAGAGAGACGGGAATAAGGACTAGACACAAGCAAAACGGACGGGGGCTTTTCAATACCTGTGTAATCTTAAACCATCTAGCTCACTCCAAAGGTTTACTGCGGATTCGGATGCAGAGTTTTCCCGTGAAATTCACGGCACTATTTGCCCTAACAAAAATTTTTCGTAAGGAAAACATAAAAGATCGAGTGAGGGAAGATTAACCCGAAGCCAGCGGTGATTAGGATTATCGTCGCGTAAGGCGCGTGCGAATGTGCGGTGCTACGGTTCAGGGCGGCTGAAACTGGGGCGTATACGCCGCTGAATAACAACCAAATAAACTAGCGAATGAGAGCACTACACCTGGCGAATTTATTTTCCTGGCAAAACAAAATAAAATAAAATAATAATATTAACTACTATACTGTTCGCGTTCTGATGCGTTTGTTTTTCTCGACAAATTTTTTCTTTCTCAAATATTTTGTGCTAAATCACGGTATGTGAACGAGAGGTCTTGAATTGACGACGCACTCTCCACAAATCTTCTCTTCCTCTATACTCGTGTTCCCCTCAAGAAGCGTAGTGGAAAAAGTCCGGCCTCCTAGCAAAAAATTACTAATTTCCCCCTTCGACAACCAAACCTTAAAACTTCGCGCAGCGCATGAATAATGTGCAGAGCTTTCTTCACTCTTTAAGTGACAACGAGTATGGTGAGGTTAGCCACTACTGGAAAGATGTCCTTTTGTTGTCACACTCTCAAAAAAAAAAAAAAAAAAAAAGAAAACACACGTAAGTGTACTTTTTTTATTTTTTTATTTTTTAAGAACGCTGGGAAGGCAGTTTACTGTGATCGACGGAGGATCACTCTGGAAGAGAAGAGGCTTAAATTATAATAAAGAGAAACCGTTATCACCCGAACCTGAAGCCTGGGGTGTGTCACTGAGAATTACGGTTTAGGTGGTCACGCTGGGCTCTCTGTACACTTAATAGCATTTTAAAAAAAAAGAAAAAAAAGAAAAAAGAAACGTTTTGTCGCTTTCGTCATGCGTCAAGAAAAGAAAGAAAAATGTATTTTTTTATTGCGAAAATAAACTGCGTTGCCCAAAGCTCATTTTACGCCGTAATGTAGCAAAAGTTTCAGAACTAGATGTTATCTTATTCACGATATATACCTCATTTTCAGAACAGTTTCTGAACATCGGCCGCCATTTTCCCATTGAAATTCTTAGTAAATAACGCGTAACTTTTCTAATAAGCTAACGGTTAGTTTAGCAACTTTGGCACCATTCTTCGGACAACTACTGCTACGTCAAACCCGTTTATAACGAACAGCAGGAAACGCCACGACCAGTTCGATATAGCAAAAACTTCCTATACAGCGAACTTCCACGGTGCGTTCGTTATACACGGGTCATATCGCCAAAAGTAAACAAATTAAATCGCGCCACAATTACCACTCAAGAAATCCATTTGCTGCATTTTTTGTGCGTACGTGCAGAGTTTTTTTTTTTTTTTTTAGCTTATCTCCTTTTTAGAATCGCTTCTTTTTGTAAGCAACCGCTTTGCGCTGAATTTTATTTTTTGCCCCTTTGGAATTTTTTTTGTTCTTTCATTTCTGTATGTGGCCAGAGCTTTTATAATCTATTTTTCTTTTCTACATTTTTTTTTTAAAAAGGGGGGGGGGGGGGGGGAAACTGGCTAGAAGAGGATTGTTTGCGCGTTGATTGAAGCCTTCCCGGGAGGAAAAAGTTCGGTATAGCCAATGGATTGTTCGTTATAAAAAGTACTTTTTACATGCATTTTTATTTCAATTTTTCGTGAGTTCGATATCGACAATAATTTGCTGTATACGTGGGTTCGTTCTAAACGGGTTTCACTGTATACATCTGGACGGATAATTAGTATTAAACTGAAAAAGAAAACTGCTTTTTTTTTTTTTTTTTTTTTGAGGAGGGGGCAGGAGGAGAGCACTTTGTACTCCAAGAAATCTAGTGCGTTTACTTTCCTTTAAAGCGCGATATGAGAGCTAATCGCTTCCGATAGACGGTGAAAGCTTTGCGAATAACGAAGCTTAAAATATGCTTAAACATGAAAAACAGAAATCAGTCTGCGCTGTGACAGCGAGCTTGACGTCTCACGTGCTCACATCATGCTGAGTGTCAAAACAAATACCGTTTTTTATAGTTCTATTTTGCCCAGCTCTCTCAGCGAATTGCGGCGATTCGCTCTCCCGAGTGCTTTGCGGAAAAGTGGACAAACCGGATTACGTAGAGTGTGTGCTTGACGATATTCCGAATGATATCTCATTAAGGGCCAGTTCACCGGTTCATAGAACATCCCCCGGGCCGTCTATCAACGCCATAAACTCGATGCGTTCCAGCTCCGTATGTATGAGACGGCGGGACAAGCGCGGCTTCGTTGCCCGGGAATGGAGGCAAAAAGAAAGAAAGAAAAAAGAAGATGGCAGTGGATTGTTGCTGCTCCGTTATGCCCGGCACGACCCTCGCTAACGGCGCGCAGAGCTCGAGAGTAGTCGGTACAACCCGTTACCTTTTTCCATCCACCGCTCCCGGCCGCCCGTTGCTCCAGGAACCGGGGGGGCTTACTAACCATTGCATGAAGCGCGTCGTAAGAACGGCACGCGTGAAATATTGAATGGCACCGCCGCGCGCACCTAGCCTTCTCACCGACACCCGCGCCGAGGGGTGGCGAGAGAAGCAGAAAACACACAAACAGGGGGTACGGAACGCTAGGAAGGGCCGGCGCCTGCCTCCACCCAGCACCAACCGCCAATCTCGCGGATGGATCATTTGGTCCGCGTGCGCTGCCGGCTCCGTATACAGGAGTGGGATGTTCCACCCCTTTCTCTCCTTCCTTTCTTCGAGGCATCATCACAATTCCGCGGATGGCTCGGCACGGAGCACCGTTAGAAACGCGAGAGGGAGTTCCGCGGCCGGTGTTTGTGTGTGTTCGCCGGTGGAGCCGACTGGATACACCTGCCTTCCCGTGCGTCCCACGGGTTTTTCCGCGTCTGCGCAGTAATTGAGATGATTTTCTCCTTCCGAATTGAGTTAGACCCGTTACGTCGAGCGCGCGCGGAAACGGTCTCTCTGATGAGCGTAGCGGACGAGTTTCCTCTTTTTGCGCGGACCGTGGTCCGCGTTAGGCTGCGGTTGATTTCGGTGTCGCGGTGTGTTCCTTCGCGCTTCGCGTCTTTTCCACTCGTCGCCCGAAAATCTTGTCCGTTGGCGTATGTATACCTGCCGGTGGCCTCCTTTACCCCGTGGATGCGGGTCGACGGAAGTTCTCACTGGCGCGGAGACGTTAGGCGGGATGATGCCACTACACTGCGCGGCGTTTCTCATCAACTGGCGCTCGCTTTCGTCGATTTCTCTCGTTTCAGTTCCTTCTTCTATCGTCGCGTTTTTTTTTTCCCCTTTATTGCCGCTGTTTTTTCTTTTTCTATTTCTTCCTTTTTCGTTCGAGGCTGCTCTTATCCGGCCCTTGCGTAATTCTAAAACCACGGTCACAATGCTAATGCATCGTACAAAAGACAGTCAGCAAAACCTACTTGAGGCCAATGTCTTCCTCGTATAACGGTCCCGACAAAAAAACTGCCTGCAGGCATGCTCGAAGCAAATGAAGCAAGTGTGCTTCGAACATGCTTGCGTGAACACCACGTCTTTTGTATGAGCTGTAAATAGCGTGACTGCGGCATAAAAAAAAATTATATTGTTGGTTATTCAAGACCCACACGCCGGCTTCAGTGTATACGTTTGTGTTTATTCTGTTTAATATTTTTGTCCGTATCTTTGTTTTACGCTTGTTGTCAAATGTGTACTATGGTATAAAACATTCGAGGTGAAATTAGCAACGAGAGAGATGGAGAGGTTCACGGAGACGTATGGGCAAACAAAAACACTTAAACGCATATAGGGTGCCAGACAGAGACTGAATAGGAGACAGGAAGCACACATTTACGAAGAGTGGTTGTTTGGGTGAGTTGGTTTGACATCTTATGCAATCTAGTGCGCAGCAAGGATGAGGACAAAAGGGGAAAACAAGGACACAACACAATAGCCTCGTTGTGTCCTTGTTCTCCGTTTTTGTCCTAGTCCTTGCTGCGCACAAGATTGCATAAGACACACATTTACGTAGGCATAGATCGATAAAGGTGCATATCAACTTATACAGAGATAGCAAAGTCAGGAAAGCGATATAACCCGCAGTTCTCACCTAGTCAGTGACCGTATATGAACCCTCAAAACTCTCTCGCGTATTCGCTACAGGCAAACTCTCACTTCGTCCAGTTAGCAGAGGCTAAAGAAAATAGAAGGTACCGAGGGAATCATTCCCTTTCCTTAACTTGTGTCGCTTTCTGCGTGCAGGTCCTGGCGGCAGCAGTACCGGCGGTGAAGAAGAGAGCAGTGACGACGAGAACGTCTGCGTCCGGTGCCGGGCCGAGTTGCCCGGCGTCGATCAGCTGACCGCGCACAAGCCGCGTTGGTGCGCTCCCTGCGCCGACCGCCGCGCCATGGGCCTGCCGGCCATCCAGACCAGGTGCGCAGAACACGCGCCGCCGCTGTACAGCGCTCGTGCATGCCGGAGTGGGGCGGAAAGTACGACGGTGTGAACGCGCCACGTATACAAACAGATAGTGACTCCGCGTTATGACTCGGCTCGCCGAGAGACTCGAATAAATGCTCATTACAACGTCGCGGTATCACCAAACGCAAAAAAAAAAAAGAAAAAAAAAACGTTTTGTGGGAAAACAAGAAAGAAAAGGGGGTGTTTGGAGGGGGGAGGGAGGCAGTTTTCACTTTTAACGGGCATGCACCATACTCCAGAGTAACCTGGCACTGCAAAACCGTGTCGTTTGTGCTTTTCCTTTCTGTCTCCCCTTTCCAAAGTTTATTACTTAAAAGAATGTAATGAGTGAAAGAGGCAAGTTTCAACTCATGTCCAATCGGCAAATCTAAATGAAAAAAATTGTTGAAGATACGTCTAGACTATAGGCTAAACGCGCCACGCAGAGGACTGAATGTCCCCGAGGAACAATATTAAACTGACTATAGTAAAGTCGTTTACTGGTGCTCTCACTTTAACTTTAATAATAATATCGTCTGGTCGGAAGCATAATCACCATCGATAGCGTTAGATGACCTTACGCTGTTTTGCCGTTTCAAGTATATCCGTTCATATATGTTGAACGCCAGGCCAAATGACCTTGGAGACATCAACGTTCTATGCGCTTGGTGTGTCTAATTCTAGGAAAGCTCTAACGGTCAGACGTTACGCGGCCTGCATCGATACCATTCATAAACGGTACAAACAGTCGCTTGAAGTGTTTTTTTTTCATCATATCGAAATGTGATCCATTATGGACTACAAAGCCCCATTTTTATTAACGTAGCTTCTAAGCATTCTTGACTCATGCATGTTTTTTCGCCTCCCTATGAATCCTATCATGACAGAGCACGCCGGTGATATGAAGGCGAACAATATGCTAAAATGTACACCTAGTTCTATAATACACATAATTAACTCAAAAGTGCTGTGAAACACTAGACAGATCTCCTATAATTTTCTCTGCAGCATCATTGAGGCACTACACAGTCGTATGTAATTAATAAAAAGATTAACTGACGTGAATCTTGTTTACAAGAAGGGATCGCGAGCTAATCAGTTATTCGCACCTCATTTCTCTTCCTCTCACAAGTGCTGCGTTCGTTTAAAGCGTGGACCTCACTGAAACATTTTTTTTAGGCTCACAAAATAACTTTTTTTGGGACATCAGCCTAGATCTCGTAAGTCATGTTTGTGAGCAATACAGTTGACAGCATTTTATGCGGCCATTTATTCATGTTTCGATTTCAATGTTCAAAATGACGCAATTTTCGTTGACTTCTCCGAGACATTTCACCAACAGCCCAAATACAAGTTCACCATTAAGCCCAACTACAAGTTCTTCTACATTTGACAAAGCCCCTATCAACATCTAATGAAACTTGAAGGGCAACTCTGGTCGAAAATGAAACCGAAATAAACGACTGGTATCGCTTTAGTGGCACGAATTATGATCACAGACGAAATATGAAGTCAAAGTGAAGCCGCGTACTTAATAAAACGGCATTTAAAGATACGACCAGCTGCTCTTTAGCAGGCGGTAAGTGGGTTAGCTTTCAGTCAAGGAACACTGGCGCAGCACCCTCGTGATGTCACGTCGCGGCCGTACGGCTGATAATCGGCGTTGCCATTTTTTTATCAGATTGTTTCGGTTTTGCCGTAGACGCCCTAAACCAAAGTTTGACCCGTGATGTTCATAAAACTACACACAATATCGATAAAAAAGAAAAAAAAAAAGAATGTAAGGGCACTGTTTTAGCTGAAAACAGTCGTAATACCAAATTTCAAATTATTGACCGGAGTGGTCCTTTAAATATATTAGTAGTCACCTTTCAGCTGACCGACGAATATTTGAATTTCTCATTAACGGCACACAATGTTCTTTTATTCACAACGTAAAACCTTCTACCTATACCGCGTTAGGCAATAAAATCGTCGGTCATTTGAAAGAATCGCATAAATCGGTTTCTTATCATACCAATCTAATATATTGTTCAGAGGCTGCCAAAATGGTTCATTTCGTCCATGAAAAATTTAAGTAATGACCTTGCTTGAGTAAAGAGTAACAAATTAAGAACTTGAATTAGCTACCTACGGAAGCTGTGTGTTAACGAAATGCGTCTGATTGGCGCAACAGCCGACAGACAAGTACGTCGAAGCTGCTCTTTAGTGCTCTATTATTGCAAGCTCAGTACAGTTGCCGTCAATGACACGCCGACGTGCGTCACCGGCTACAACTGCACTATGCAGCACACTCTCCTGGAAGGACTTTCCGTAAAGAAACAAAAAGTATACTACCTTGTATTTTCGTTTCCAGGAGCTTTTGTTCCTCTCAGCACAGCCGCGCGTCTGTTGGTAACAACGCTGTAGGACGGGAGCAGAAATCTCTCCAAAAAACAAAAAGTCACAATCTTTTTTTTTTTTTTTTTTTTGTATTTCTTTTTACATGTACCCGACAATCTTCTGACAACTTCGCGCACGGATCGGGACGTTATCAGGTATCGTTATGGAACTCTAAAAACGATTTACTAAAGCTCTTCAATGTATTCACCGCGCAGAAACCGCGCCTCTCTGTGTGATTCAATCCAAGATCTAACCTTGTCCAATTTCGATTTCCCCTCAACTTCCTTCTTTCTCCCTTTATTGTTTGCTTTTAGTCGCATTTTAGTTAGTCTCATTGTCCCACGTGCAAGCAGAATGCAGCTTTCGCGGTCCATCGAAATTCGTTCGTATTACCTCGATCGCAAATCAATGTATTATTTAGGTATGTAGATTCGCCGAAAGCACTCGGGAGTGTCCTGTTTCGTCCCTCGGTTTCCGTGTTAACCCGGACCCTGCATCCGCAGCATTCGCGGCCAGTGCGTGGGCGCGGACGACCCCCGCGCCGAGGGCATGGCCGATGACGACTCCCCGGGCAGCGTGTCCCTGGGCCCCTTGCCGCCGACGCACGTGGCCCTCGAGGCCCTCCAGAGCACCAAAGTGGCCGTGGCGCAGTTCGCCTACGGCACGGGGGCGCCCGCAGAGCTGGCCGCACTGCACGAGGCGCTGCTCGCCTTGCAGCAACAACAGGTGCGTGCACCCTACCTACCGGGAGAAAAAATGAAAGCCGTTTACAACTCCCTGTACCGCCGAATTAGAGCGCAGCTCTTGAGGAGGAGGAGTGGAAGGTACGGAGAGGAGGCTATGCTTCTCCTCTTCTCCTGCTCGCCTCCCATTTAGGGGAAAATATTCCGCTAAATTTAGCAGTGAAATTTTTTCCGCTAGATCTAGCGGGGAATTTTTTCCCCTATATTTAGCAGCGAAATTTTTTCCGCTAGATTTAAGGGGGAAATTTTTCCGCTAGATTTAGCGGGGAAACTTTTTCTTTTAGATTTAGCAGGGAAAATTTTCCGCTAAATTTAGCGGGGAAATTTACCCATAATTCACCGCGCGGTTACGCCGACGCCGACGCCGCTCAAGCCGGAAACGGGCGCCGAAGAACTGCACTCTAAAAGCAGAGGCAATGGATTCGGATTCTAGTCTTTTTCAGTTTTTTTTATCAAAAGATATTTGACGAGGTCGGTCAACACCGTCTCGTTACAAAGCCTTAAGCCTAAGCCAGACTTCTCATACATCCTACAAAAGACACAGTGTTCGCTACAGGCACGATGACATAATTATCTGCGGAAGAAGCGCACCTCATACAGTGTCTGCATGGATACTGTCGTTTGTATGGCATATTAAGGCCCGTTCACACACTTGCGCTTGACTACGACCGACTGAGACAAGACCGGTTTCGATGCATCTTGTGATGGCTTACGACCAGCTACGCAGCAATCCAGCCAGTCGTAAGTCTTCACAAGAGGCTTCAAAACCTATCTTGTCTCAGTCGGTAGAAAAGTCAAGCGCAGGTGTGTAAACGAGCCCCTAGCAGTGTGAACGCGGCCTTACTGTTCCCGATCCATAGCACCAAACGTGACGGTAGTTGTGTGGACATTGCTGGCTATTGAACGGGTCAACGAGGTCAGGCAAGTATGGCTACTAACATCAGAGAAAGAAAATTGGTAGCGACCTTTCTTCAAAGTCCTATAATGCATGTAATGCATCATAGGGAATTGATGTTTCACGTTACTTATATTTTCCCGTGAAGTTTAGTGGGGAAACTGAACGGTTGTATAGATCACGTCACGTCAGGCCACGTGACGTTGATTTCTCCCGCTAAATTTAGCGGGAAATTGGATTGGCATGTGTCACAAGACGTGAATTTTCCCGCGCGGATAACTGATTTGGTGTATAGGTCACGTGACGTCAATTTTCCGCCAAATTCAGCGGGGAAACTGAGGTGATGTTTTGACCACAAGACGTGAATTTTTCCTCTAAATTTAGCGGGGAAACTGAGTTGTCGTATAGCTCAGGTGCCGTCAATTTCCTCAAGGTGTATAGGTCACGTCCCGTCAACGGGACGCATCTTTCCTCGCTGCATTTAGCGAAAAAGACGGACAGACGGACAGACGGACGGACAATATTTTGGGATTGGCGGCGTAGCGTTAAAAACAACAACAAAAAAAAACATTTTATTCTTTAAAAAGTACGAATTTACAGCCGCGCTGCTCGTCATCAAACCATTAGCGTGACGTCTTGGGGGAAAGTGAGCAGGCCTTCTAGTAGGTGGTGCTGGGGCAGCTGGCTTGTGAAAACTTGTCAATAGTCGTAAACATGTCTACTTTAAACGTCTGATAATGGCACCTCCTACATTGGACTGAGACGCTTACCTTTTTTAAGTAATTAGGTTTATTAACGGCATGGATGTACCGACGATGTTCAGACGTTGTAACTAATGTTTGCAAGGAATAGCTGGCGTACAGAGCTCGGGCTTTTAGAGCGTTGATTCATGTAACACTTGACGCTGCAAGGCATTGGCATAAATAACTGAAGTTGGGTCAGACGCTGGTGCGCACATTTGGGTAAGATCAGACATGTACGCAACGCGTTACCAGTAACAAGTTCCTTCTACCTACTTACTTTTTTCGGTAACGGGTAACCTATTTAGTTACTTTTTAGAAAATAAACTAATAATGTACTTAGTCACCTTTAAATCCAAGTAACAAGTAACGGTCACTTTGTTACTTTTGAGCAGTAACGTGTACAACACCGCTCAAACAGAGTCGTTTTAATTTTAGCCTGAGCATGCCTCTATTACAACCAAGGCAGATGGGCAACAAAGAAAAAAAAACAACTAAACAGTATGATAATATAGCAAGGTTAATCGCTGAACACGTCAGTCGGGAATATCCTTTATCCAGTGAACACAATAAGGTTCCTCGGTTGAACCTTGTAGAATCGTGTACAAACCGAATGCAAACCCGGAGGTTGCCAATACGGGAAAGCACAGGTCCCATTGTTAACTTGGAACTCCAGAAGCTGGTAGAACAAAAGAGAGAATGGAATCCCAGATTTACCAGCTCTTCCTGAAGTACAACACTGGCGTACCTTCGACTCGCATCAGTAGAACGACTCTTCAGCGTCGCCGGAGATGTATTCTCAAGGAAGAAGGGGAAACATAACAGGTAGAGACTTTGAGAGGCAGCTACTAGTTAAGTGGAACGACTTCTGAAGAAAAAATAATAAATAAATAAATCATGAAACAAGAGCAGTTGTTTATTTGGCCCTCAAAGTAACGAGAAAATTAACTCGATACCTTTGAGGTCAAGCAACGCGTTCCTTTTGAGAATACGTAACAAGTAAAGTATTTAGTTTCTTTTTAAGCTAGTAACGAGTAACGATTTTTATTAACTTTTATTTGGTATCGTGTGCATGTCTGGGTAAGATGCAGTGAAAGTGAGTGTTGCAGAACCCACTTATTCTGGTAAGAGTGCCCCGCCTCTGCCTTTTCAACCCGAATGAACACCTGTATGAGGTCGTGTAATCACAACTGCGCGATGCATGTTAAGGCTGATTCAAACAGTTAAGTTTGAGTGTGACTGACTTTGTTACAACTTCTAGCATCCTACTACAACACGTTACGCATACTTCGGTTGCCATAGTAACCGTCTCGTTGTAAGCGCTCATGAGTGCTGCACTCTAGATTGTTCGCCCACACCTTAGAACCAATGTCCTTATATCTTAGGGTAAGATCTACCTCTCGCGGTGTAAACGTTCAGAATGTCCCATTTGGCGCTCTCATTGGAAGTGAGCGCGGCACTCATGTTGGCGGGTGTATACCGTCCCAGGTGGTGCAGCTGCACATCATCCAGCAGCTACAGGCGTACGTGGGTGCATCGCCGGCGCCGCTGCCGGTGAACCTGAGCCGCCCGGACGCCGAGGCCCCGCCGCCGTCGCCTCGGGCGCCCAGATCGGGCCCAAGCCCGGAGTGCCGGGCAGAGCCGCTGCTCGCTGGAGTGCGGGAGACGCCGCCGCCGCCCAACACCCGACCCAAGGAGTCCGCGCCGCAGCCGGACGGGGTGGACCGCCTGGCGCTGCCGCCGGCCGAGTCGTCGGCGGAGCCGCTGGCCGAACCCCTGGCCCAGCCCAAGGTCGAGCCGCTCGCGGCCGGCCTCGTCACGCCCCCGACGGCGCCGCCGCCCCCCGACGAGCCCAACACGCTGGAGCTGCTGCAACGGCACACGGAGAAGGCGCTCCAGGCACGCAACCCTCGCTGCTCACGCGAGCTCTTTGAAGACCCTGCCAGTGATTCACATGCCCTTCCAACAGCGGCATAACGCACTCTCTAGCCGACTCAAATCCCCAGAACTTCCTTCCCTATGCACACACACTTGTTGTGTATACCCCCCGGAGCCCCTCCCAGTAATGGGCAACACCACTAACACCGCTAACCGCGCTGTTTCATGTATAGCAATATAGCACCTTTCGCGTGGCATTTCAATTATTCGAAATATTATGGCACCTGGGTCTCATGTATAGATGGCGTTTCCAATCGCCTATCTTTGCAACAAATCCGACAAATTTTATAAAAAATAAAAAAAAAGGCAGACACATTTATTGAGTTTCTACACAGCGGCTTCTCCGACTCTACGTCTACCCGTTAGGCTCTTCGAGCGATCTGTTTGCTTTCCTCCCAAAATCAGCAACGCGCATATCTAAATTGCTTCGATTTGTCCCGAGAGAAGATTGTCTCATCATGTGGCGAAATTATTTCAGACAAGATGATCTAAGGACTGTGTTTTTACTCCTTCTAGGTCATTTATTTGTCCGCTTTAGCGCTTCTTTTATAGCCAAGTGGCAATGCGTAAACTTCATTTAGCGAGTTGCAGGTAGTAGTGTGCTGTATTACTCAACCGCTCTCCCGCCTTCCTGAGCATAAAGTCAGGTATAGGGCCGCATCTTAGGGTCACACGGTGTGCGGCTCTTCAACTTTTCGACCTTGCTACACACATGAACGCCGTCTCTGTACGATTCGTTACGTCAAAGCTTGCTCAGGCGCGTGTGTGCTTGGGGGTAACCGACTGCACCGCGATCGCTCGTATCCGCTTGCGACGACAGAGAACACCGACACACTAGCGCCATCTATCAGAGAGCCCGGAAACATATCCGATCTGCATATAACTATTCTGATGGTTTGACACCATTTGTGAGGTCAAGTGTAAGAACAATCCGCGGAAAATGGTCTCTGACAACATTACCAGAAATCTTTTACGTTCGCGGTGAAGGAATGATTCGTAAAATTCACACAGAACGAGGGGGTCCCAGGGCTACACCAGAAATGGCGCCAGTGTATTCTGAACGAGTGAGTTCCAGGGCCACACCGCAGATGGCGCCAGTGTATTCTCTCGTCGTAGGTGGACACAAGCGGTTGTAACGCGCTCGGTCGCAGTCGGACGCAAATGCCCGAGGCAGGCTTGAGTCGCTCGCCGCGTGTTCTGCCAGACGTTCGTGTCGGAGCGTTCACGGTGGCCCTTGGGCGTCTGTGTCCGGCAGGAAACCATGAGCGGTGGCTCGTTCCTGCTCAACGGGCTGGGCTCGCCGGACTCGTCGCGGCTACGCAGGAAAGGTGACGCCCGGCCGGACGAGGCCTACCTGCGCCACAGGTGCCGCTTCTGCGGAAAGGTGGGCTCGCCCTCCCCTCCTTCTCTCAGAAAGAAACGCTGTATATATAGGTGGCGCAAGCCGCCGCCCGATTAAAAGGGCTCGGCTGCATGCATTCGTTCGTCCACCCAGCGTTCTTTTCGTCGGCCATTTTTGTACGCGGAAAGGGGGGCGGTTATTTCCAGGTTGTAGTTATTGTGACCGGTTCAGCAGTCGCCATATGAAGGCCGTGATCATAGAAAAATACGCCGCATGAATAAAAGAAAGAAAAGTTTATTTTGTCGTAAAGTGAAGCTGGGATGTGGCGCAGCGTCTTACAGATTTTGATTTGTAGCGTCGGCGGCGTTGACTTCTACGAACCCTTTTTTGGTTTTAGTTTTTAGGACATCAGTACAAGTTCACTGTGTTGACGAGGGCCTGGTACGAACATCCAGACAGACAGTACCTTCGAAGAGTTGTCTATTTTTGCCCCAGTTATATCCGTCTGATAGAAAATAAAAGATGAAGTCGCCCCGATAGGCCCGTTGGGACGTCTTCTGGAATTAGTATGATCCAAATCCTTTAAATGGCATGTATCTATGGAAAATTCGAATACTGACTGACGGTAGCAGAGACAGTCCTAGATTAAAGGCGCACTTGAAGCTTTTTTTTTTTTTTTCTTCACCAGCAAGGACATTCTTTACGTGCTCTAAAAGGCGTGAAGGAGCAGGAAGACAAATTGCGGTGTGTTGCGGCATATTAAACTGGACAACGCCCTGCTTTCCCCAAAAAATATTTTCTATCGTGCCTGTTGGTTTTTAAAAGTTCTAAAGCACAACGTTTGATAAGAAGAAGCCCATCTGATACTCTGAACCGTCCTCTTTATACACAACATTTTTCTTCCTTCGTTTTCAGAGGTGAGTGGCTACCACGTAGATCTTTAATGCGGCGTAACATAGGGTGCGTCAATGTAGGCGTAAATGATTTGTGCTTGGCGCAAACCCGCATGTGAAAATCGGGATAGTGTAAATTCCGAATTAGTGCGCACCTAATTGCGAAATTTCCACTGCGTGACGTGGTTAGCGCAAACAGGTGATCGGTTTTACTTTTTATATTTTTATGACTACAGCCTACCTCCTAACATCATATATTCCCATCGACGTTAGTAGAAAGTCCATCGTTCTTCTACGTTGAGTGACTCTTTTCAGCCTGAACGGCATCATGACAAAAACCAGGAACCACCTGTTCGCGCAGACTGTGCCGCTTCGGCCGTTTGTGTATGCGTACACAAAGGGCCGAGTATTAGGCAGCCGCTCAATAGATGTCTGAATGCGCATTTGACCGTATCCCTTCTGGCCCCGCATCCAGGTGTTCGGCAGTGACAGCGCCCTGCAGATCCACATTCGCTCGCACACGGGAGAGCGGCCCTTCAAGTGCAACGTGTGCGGCAATAGGTTCTCCACCAAGGGAAACCTGAAGGTGCACTTCCAGCGGCACCGGGCCAAGTACCCCCACGTGCGCATGAACCCCAACCCGGTTCCCGAGCACCTGGACAAGCACTTCCCGCCGCTCGAGCCCCCCGGGGACCGCAGCCCGACGTCGCCCTCGGCGCCGCCGCCGCCTTCCTCGTCGCCGCCGCCGGGGCCCCACTCGCTGGCCAGGGCCCTGGCTGTCGTCTCGTCTAGGGGCGACGAAGCGGCGGCAGGCTTCAGCGGGCTCTCCAACTCGCGGACCCGGAGCACCTCGCCCTGCCACGAAACGAGCGCCTCCAACGTGACCACGTCGGCGGGGTCTCCGGAACCCGACGACGACGCGGCGCTCAGTCTCAAGGCGGAGCCCGAGGACTACCCGGAGGTGAGGCCCAGCTTTGCCGAGTCCAGAGAGTCGGTCCGGAAAGAACAGAGCCGCGTCCCGAGGCGTGTCCTGTGACAGACACAACCGATATAGTCAGAGTATGGCAGGACGTCTCTTTGAAACGCCCGGCCTCCTGCACGCGCTTCGTGCCTTCCGCCGTGCTTCGGCTGCCTGCGCGCTCTCGAAGGCAGGAGACGCCGAAGCGCTGCCGAAGGTAGGAAACTCATGCTGGAGGCGGGAGAACTGAAACTCCTCCCGTTCTCATCCTATTAGTGGTTCTGGTGTCACTAGATCTTTGGAAAGTAGCGTCAAGCACCCCATTGTTGCCATTTTGGTTCACGAAGTCAGCAGTTTCTCCTTGGAATTTCCATTTTTAGTGAGCCGATCCAAATTCGCGGTGACAAGTTGCTTTCTAAAGATATTTATTTTATACACCCCGTTCATGTTATAGACACACCGGCAAACAAACGGACATCTTGGCATTGCCAACCCATACGGCGTCAGTGCTTGGCGGTATACAAACATATTTTTCCTGTCTTTAAAAATCTAAGAAGAAGAATATCATTATAAGAAATGCGTAGAGATCAACAGGATTGATAGGTTGATTACATGCACTGTACCAAAGATGCTTATATTGGCGAGGGACGCTTACAGTACTATGATGCTACATAGCGACCTTGGAGCGACTGGTTCAGAACGACCCTTTCAAAGCTTCGAAGATTCGAATGGACCGAAATGACGATTGGAGGGGGAGGGGGGGGGGGGGGGGGGGAAGGCAATGGCAGCAGAAACAACAGCCAATCGCCTTGCGAGGTTTTGGTCGTCTCTGGGTTAGCATCTGTTTGTGCCTGGCTAGCAGGCAGGGCATTGTGGCGCTCGCTACCTTACCAAGATCCAGTGCCTTTAGTTACCATTATATTTGTTGTCAGAAAGGAGTGCCGCTGAAAAGTTAAACTGTACGTTGTGAATGTTCATAGATGATTTAATTTCTCGATACTGGTTACAAGATGTAATGGAGCCATTTCACTAGGTACGTTAACACTTCTTATATGGGACCTTTAGCGAGCGACACTCAGAGGTGATTAGACGACCGCTCGCCGGCACGATGCCTGCACGCGTCGCCAACAGTCAGGCGTAGGGATCCCTGGGTTCTCTTGCGGGGGCTTTGGCTGCACACGCTCCAGGTCCGCTTTGTGCTTCCACACCCGACTGCTGATCCCCCAAGATAAGCGAGAAGCTGGTCGAAGCTCATAGAGAGAAAGCACTTGGAAGGGACTGCCTCCCTCATTCTAGAAGCACCAGGGAGAGAGCCCACATTTCCCTAAGAGTCTTGACTTCTTCACATAACGAAAAAGTTTAATCATTTAGCGAGAAATCAGCTGTCACACTCTGGCATAAGGAGGTTCCTTTCCAGCACCGATCCCCCAAGTACCGCAGTCGCGCCCGTCCTTTCGCGGAGACTATCCCGCTCCTCCGCTTACCCTCTGTGCAGCGGAGCGTTGGAAGAAGCACTTTCTCCAGGGGCTCTGATACGGTGTTTTGAATTCGTCGGGCAACTTGTTTTCTGCACGTAAGCCCAGAGAAAAGCCTCCCTGGCGAAACGTGACGACACATACACCCCCCATTTGTTATTCCCATAGCGTACCAGTCCCTCCATCGAGAAAGTTCAGCTGTTTTGCCACCACATTAGTGTTTATTCGTGCGAAGTTTTACATAACATTTACACTGGCGCGCTATTATGAAGGACTGTGAAGGTTACTTTCTTCTCTTCAACCATCATCATTACATTTTGTTCTTCTTCAATATTGGAGTGATACTTTTTTTAAGAAACAAATTCATCGCACAGAGGTAATTTCGTTCGTTCGTTCCACTTCCTATCTGAGCGGAGAGCGTGGCGTTTTGCTGGTCGACACAGGCGCTCAGTAGAAACGCCCCTTGTGGTGTCAACAAAAGTGAGTTGGTTCATTCTCTCTTCGGTCGATCCACGAGAAGTTCTCCTCTTCTACTTTTATTATTGGACAACAAGGGCACACCTCTGTTCAAGGCCCATCGATGTTTCTCTGTTCCTTAGGCTAAAGATATATTTAGTTGCATCAAGCGCCACCAGTGCGAACTGGAGAAAACATTAATTAATTTTAAGCCGTGAGATGCCGTCGAACAACTGGCCAAAGGTTGCTGTTTTCTCGCCTAAATGCGCGTCATCTCTCTACGTTGGAAACTCGTAAAAAGTGAAGGAAAGTAAAATGGCCCGGTTGTATCCTCTTCGAAAGACACGCACGTATGGTGACGCTCCAGATTTTTCAGATAACTTGCATACGGCATAGCGTCGCCCACGGCCAACGTCTGTCACGTATCGCGTGCTTTTCTCGTGGCTTTACACGAACACATCCTCTGAAGGAACATCATCAGTTACTTAGCAGTCAAAGCTGGGCAGGACAAGGTCTTGCGGAAGCTGGAAGCGTCCGCTCAGAAGGGATCCATCTACAGCTTGGGACACCCGAACGCCACTTAAAGGCAGACTAAGCGTTGGGCGGTCTAAACTTTCATACAAAAGATTCTCATTTTAAAATGTACAAGGAACAGAAAAAGTTGTCGGAGAAGGCGCCGAGACCGGTGAATTTCTTCTCGGTTGTCTGGTGCCTCAGCGGCGAAGCGAGCGAACCCCGTTTTCGGTTGGTGGCGCAGGAGGACCGCGGCTCGGACGAAGAGCACGACTCGGGCTCCTCGGCGGAGGACTACCCGGGCGGCTTCCTCGCCGGCGGGACGTCGTTCTCGGAGCCCGCGGTGCCCCTTCACGCCGACCCTGCCTTTTACCAGGACCTGCTGCCCAAGCCCGGAAGTAACGACAACTCGTGGGAGACTCTGATGGAAGTGACACGACCGTCGGAGACCTCCAAGCTTCAGCAGCTCGTGGACAACATTGAGCACAAGCTGAGCGACCCGAACCAGTGCGTCATCTGCCATCGGGTGCTGAGTTGCCGCAGCGCCTTGCAGATGCACTACCGGACCCACACGGGCGAGCGGCCCTTCCGCTGCAAGATCTGCGGACGTGCCTTCACCACCAAGGGCAACCTGAAGACGCACATGGGCGTGCACCGCGTCAAGCCGCCGCTCAGGGTGCTCCACAAGTGCCCCGTCTGCCACAAGCAGTTCACCAACTCGCTGGTGCTCCAGCAGCATGTCCGGATGCACGGCGCCGACGCGGCGGTTCCGCAGCACGGCCCGCCCCGGGACGCGTCGCCCGCCAAGACCGGCTCGCCGCAGCCGTGTGCTTCTCCGCCGGGGTCGCCACCGCCGCCGCCGCCGCCGCCGCCGCCGCAGTGTGACCCGCAGTGCGGGTCGGCGTCGCCACAGCCTGCACCGCACCACCCGCCGCAGCAGCAGCCCCTGCTGCGACCGCTGAGCCCCGAACGACCGCCGTCGGAACTCACGTCGCTGGCGGCGCTCGAGAATCAGGTGACGTGGACACGTCATGTAGAGATGCTTGCTCGCGGACGGTCATCCGCGCTGACGTCGCGAGGGACGCTGCACAGTCTCGGTTCCTTATCTGTGAGCGGAGTTCCATATGCCCCGTTAACTTGACGTCGTGGGAATCGTTAAACTATTCGCACTTCCAGTGATTGGAAAGGTTGTTGTCGTATCTTTCGTCTGCCATCTTGCTAATCGGAAAATCAGTGGATGATTACTTCATGGAAGTTGTTCTGAACTGTATGTAAATTCGAGCAAACTCAGGTCGTGAAACTCGGAAGACGTGATACGTCGCGTGTAAAGGGAAGACACGCTTTTCGTTTGAAGCTGTAGTGAGGTTCGACGCAGGAAACACGCCTTGCTGCTTAGGAATTCCAGACGTCTCGCAAATTCTTACGCTTTTGTGGCGTCTTACGTCTGCCCTGCGTAATATTTCATATTTCAGTAGTGCGCACATGCCCAATGAGTTGGCTACAACAGTGTTCGGCCATACAGTTGCGCAATATCTCCGATGCCTGTTGTGTCTAACGCCCCAACTGTACCAAAAAAACATGTCTCAAGTCCATTGCGCTGAAGATTTGAAACGCCTGCTGCGGCGGCACCTGGCAGTAGTGCAATCGAAATCCGGGAGGTCGCAACAACGTGACTGAAAAGGGCGCATAAAGAAAAAAATGAATACGGACATCACCATCGCTTACAAACAAGCACTTTATATATATGAAACAAGGCAAGTGATCTTGAACTTACCGAATATTCGACGAGGTAGAATAGCATGCCCCTTCAGCTTGGGCCAAGCGGGGTCCATAGAGTCTCCAAAAGGTGTGGTGATTTCCAAACAGTGCTTGTATTCATGGACGCGATTTTATTCACTCTGGCATGAGTTTTTTTTTTTTTTTTCGACTTCTGTCGTAGTATGATAGAAGGCACAACCCATGAATCCCGTCGCACAGTCCTTTCAATGAGCCTCGGTGAGCAAACCACGGTAACTTGTCCTTGCATGAGTTTGAACGGTATATGCTTACTACGGGTGAAGGTGAAGTGGGGGACGAAGAAACATCAAGCTCTATCTGTGCAACTTTTCCGTTGGTCTCCTTCCGTCATTTGCTTAATAAAAATCATATTAATATTATTATTATGATATATGAGCGCGTTCGTTTACAACCGATGGTTAGACCGAGCTACAACTTACCGACTGCAAAAGAGCAACAGTCTGCGCTTCGGAGAATCGTTGGAGAAACTCACCGTTAGCAATGGACAGAGCTGCAGCTCTAACTGAACACAACGGACATTTCCACATGGCTCCTTCATCTATGTTGCCCGAGAATCACTCAGAACACCAATCACTGGTCAAGATATAATCGACTTGACCAGTCAGAGTGAGTCAGGAAAAACATGTATTTCTTTTTTTCAAAGGACCGTCTGCCTTGGCCGAGTTATCTTGAGCTCTGGCGGAACGCCCGTTAATCGTCATTAACCCCCATAAGCTGATCTTAGGCTGTGATGAGAGACGGAATGACTTAGACGCGTACCTTGAACGGTTTGAACACTTCGCCGTGGGATAAAACTGTCTGAATGCAAAGTGGGCCAATGCCCTCAGTATGTGCTCAGTAGGTGAGGCGTTCAAGGTCTTCAGCCGATTGTTCTCTGGAAACTCCATGCAGTATTAAAAGGCCAAACTAGCATTACTCTAGCGCTTTCGTTTTACGGTGGAGGACTACGGAGATAAGTTTCGCAAAGTACGCCCGAAGACGGTGAACCTGGGAAACAGTACGCGGCGAAAACATAAAACTTTTTCGACCGCTGGGTAGAGATGTCCGGCGCAGCATCTAGCTTACAGGGACTACGGGACCTGGTCGTCGCCTTGCAGTTCCTTAACAACTGCCACAGTCCGTTGGCACTGTTCCTGCGCGAGAGAAATCTGCAAGGAAATCAGCATGATGGACAAAGCGGTAGGCTGTTTCCTAGAGGCACAACGTCTACGAAACTTGCTTCTGCTCAGGACAATGCTGGAGACCAAAAAGACAATCAGAATGCTGTTTTTATCGCACCTCGAGGGTTTTGCAGTCGGAGTAGTACAAATTTCAAACCCAGTTATAGATTTTTTGTAGAGTCAGTTATATTGCGGAGATGCTCCAAACGACTTACGACATATCAATCATGCATTCTAGAAATACACAGATACGTGCAAAATATGGCAAAGAAAGTTTAAACGGGCAGACCTCCTCAACTTCATATCCACGTTAAGAAATTTTGGGTATTACAGAAAACACAAGGGCCCCATAAAGAAGGAAATATAATCGTAATGTGAATGTGAACACTGATTGTGCAGAATCTTGCTGTACGCGTGACTTGAACAGATTATGCCACGCGAAAACAAGTACGGGGTAATCAACTTTCTTCAGCTGTTCAAACTTCGAGACTAATACATCACCAAATGCAACAAATACAATAAAAATACCTTTTGACACTGAGATCACATGGTCGCTGAAGCTAGATACTGATTGTCGTTCTCATTGGCTGATTTGGCTGTAAGATGACCGGTGCTTGGCGTTTCGAGTGCATCGCGGTGCAGTAAACTTTCAAGGACGTCTCAGAGTGCACGGCAAGGTTTTGCACCTCTGTCGTGTTATCCGTGTGAGCATTTGCTGCGAACAGAGATGAGCAGATTCTCGACGCGGCGGCGAGTGACGTGACGGGCCCGTCTCCTTCCCGCAGGTGAAGGGCATCAAGACGTCTCTGCAGACTCCGGCACTGCCGTTCGGTCCCTTCGGGCTCGGCCTGGCCGCGGGCTTCGGGCGCTTCGAGGACCAGCCGCTGTTCCTGGGCCGCGGCGCGGACACCGGCGGCCAGAGGTCTCCGGGCTTCTCACCGCGGGCGGGCTCGGAGATGTCGACGGGCGACGAGCGGTCGAGCCCGCCGTCGCCTCCGTCCTCGCCGCCCGTGAACGGCGCCCCGCTGGACCTGACACCTCGGTCGCTGCGCCCGGGGGACCCGTTCCCGGCGGGCCGCCTGTTCGCGGCGGCGCCGCTGGGGGGCCTGCCGTTCCCGGGCGCGGCGCCCGGGCGGCCCAACACCACCTGCCAGATCTGCTTCAAGACGTTTGCCTGCAACAGTGCTCTCGAGATCCACTACCGGAGCCACACCAAAGAGCGACCGTTCAAATGCAGCGTCTGCGAGCGAGGCTTCTCCACCAAGGGGAACCTCAAGCAGCACATGCTGACGCACAAGATCCGGGACCTGCCGGCCACGCTGTTCGCGGCCAGCTCGGCCACGGGGGGCCCCAGTCCCCCGGCCCCGAGTCCCGTGAGGCCTCCCAGCCCCGCCGAGCAGCCCCGGCCCGACGAGGCGAGTCGCGGCAAGCGGCCGGGCGCCCCGAGCCCGGCGCTGCGCCGGCCGCCGGGGCTGCCGCGCCACGTGTGCCAGGTGTGCCACAAGCCCTTCTCGAGCTCCAGTTCCCTTCAGATCCACATGCGCACTCATACGGGAGACCGGCCCTTCAAGTGCTCCGTGTGCGGCAGGGCCTTCACAACCAAGGGCAACCTCAAGGTGCACATGGGCACGCACATGTGGAACAACGGCAGCTCGCGGCGAGGCCGCCGCATGTCCATCGAGCTGCCGGCGCTGCTGGGGCCCCCCAAGTCTGCGCCCCCGGGAATGCCAGACTTCGGGGCGCCCCCACCGCACGACCTGTTCTACCCGTACCTGGGGCCGGCCTACCTGAATGGCATGCTGGGCCCGAAGGCGAACGAGGTCTCGGTCATCCAGGGCGGCGCCGAGCCCCGGCCCGGTGACGAGGCCGAGCCGCACAACGGCGCCTGGGCCTGGAAGATGGCCTGCAACCTGTGCGCCAAGATCTGCGGCTCCTCGCTCGAGCTCGAGGCCCACCTCAAGGCGCACCACCGCAAGGAGCTCGAGCCCCCGGACGGGCTGCAGCCGGCCTGAGCTAGTCCTCGTCTCTTCGCCCCCTAACTTATTATCTCATCCACGGTCATGTCTTCTGTGATAGTACGCCTCCCCTGGCTGTCACCTCGCCAACCTCTCACCCTTCCCGCGCGGGTCGAGCACCGGCGGTCCATGTTCCCCGGTCACCGTCGTCTTCTCACCCCCGTCCCCGGCGAGGCCGCCAAGCGGAGGGCCCGCTCGCACACGCTCGCTCGCTCGACCGCGCTTGGGGCTCCCCGGCGCCGCGGCGGTGCCCCCCTTCCCGGCACGGACAATCGGCTTTCCGGGCGGTCTGGGCTCCCTTCCGCTTTACGAGGCGCGGCCATGTCGACGGGGCTCGCGTCGGAGGCCTCCGGTGCAATCTATGACGATAAGACGCTCGCGAGAAAGGCTGTCTGCCATCGCAATGTGAAGCAGTGTGAGCCGCTGCCTGGAATGTACGGGCCCTCTCGATATACATAACTTGTACTGACGTCACATTGCGTGCTTTTGGCCACCATGAAATAGAACGGAAAACTGGTTTTGTAGGAATTTTGAGTGACAGGTTAATCTTCCATAATGTTTCGGGAAGAATAGCGACGAATGGGCAGATCTGGGAGACACAAAACAGGGTCTCGGTAAGAGGGGAGCTCCTTCTTCCCCTCTTTTCTGGTTGCCATCGGAGCTCTCTTTGGATGACGTCATGTGCAAGCCATGTATACGAGAATACCGGCATTGTAAAAAGAAACGCCTCAGGTTATTGCGCCACTTGGAGGGCTTCTGTCCACACCACGAAGAAAGCAAAAGGCTATGACACGAAAGGGACTTCGGTGTGCTTGTTATGAACGTCGCCCTATATAGGAGCATATTGTCACGAGCAGTATTACGTTCAGGTTACAAAGGAGTTGTTCGTCGTACACTTCCATTTCGTATAAGCAAAAAGATGCGAGACGCCCATCGGGTCTTAAAGGTGCACTATAAAGTTCTATAACTTCGTCTTCCCGTGGGCCTAACTTGCTTTTCCAGCTTTGGACTGTCAAAATAAACTTATCGTTTTTCTTTTTTTTTATAAAAGACGCAATCAAACTCTTGTACACTTTCCCTCATCTAAGCCGTATAGAGAGGAAAAGTAACAGCTCGGGTTAGACGACACGCAATGACCTTCCATCACTCTGGATTTAATATGCATCACTGAATGCGAATAGAAGAAAAAACGCGGCTAATAAAAAAAAAATATTAATATTTCAGTTATCAAAAATCCCTTCCTTACCGACTTGTCGTCTTCTGAGTCACTGTCAAACGGCGACCCCGCCGACCCTGAGCGAGAGTGAAGGTGCATCAAAGCCGTGCTCCTAAAAGACAGAGGGCCGTCTGGCGTCATCCAACTGGTTTGTTGCCTGCCCTTTTCTTGGCACAAAAAAAAAAAAGTATTAAAAAAATAAGAACTTCGATTGCGCATTTTATTAGAAGTGGCGCGCATGTGCGGATAATGTTTGGTTTCTTAAGTCGCACTGCTCGTACAGCATGCAAGAGACGCGGTGTCCGCTGCCGGCATGATAACGGAATTATCTTGCGGACACGCCCGAACCATCTTAGCAGCAGGTTTGCTTCAATTTCAAACATATGTTATGCTTCGAACATGGTGCACGTTAAAGACCCCAGGCTAGCGGTTGTACTGCACTGGCTCAATTGCTCATCTACAGCGAGTGACTCGTCGCAACTTTAAATGGCAGACCAACTACACGCTGTACAAATATCCCACAACCCAATTTTAAAATCTTTGTAGACAGTCTGTATATGACGAATATAAAGCCGAGGTCACGCTGCTTATACATCTTATAAAAGACAGTCTACAAGCTCGAGTCACTCGCTGTAAACTCGGCACGCGGCATTCGAACCGCATTCGCGGTTCGAATGCCGCGTGCCGAGTTTTCTTCTCGAACTCGTTGCCATGCGGCATTCGAAGCACGAATCTCGCGGTGACTTGCGTTCGAATCTGTTTGCAGACTGTGTCTTGTATGATGTATTTTCACTGTGACCGCCTCGTTGGAGAGCCACAACAGCACAAAGTGAAGACAGACCACTTTAGAGCACCTGTCGTTAAAGATGGCGCCAAGACGCGAGCTCCTAGATCACGAGCATTTGAACAGGGCGCGAAGGGAGCCCCAGACACAGCGGGTGCCGTCGCGGGGTCCGCTCGGCACTTTTTCTCTCCGAGCCGCGGTTTTTTTGTTTTTCTGCCGGCCGGCCGGCACCGGGGCCGAGGATTCCGCGCGAGTGATACCCGGGCTGTGATATGCGCTGAGTCCCCGGCCCCCTTCCAAACCCCCCGACCCCCCGAGGGCGCGCTGCTTTTCGTGGAGAAAACTGGACTTGAAAGCCGCGTCCTCGGGCTGTTAAACTGGCAGCGCGGGCATCTATTTTTTTTTTTTCCTCTTCCGAACGCGGAAAGAAGCATTCCGGTAGCCTGCGGTTCCTCCCCCATCAAGTTGACCTCTACACCGAATTTAGTGTAAGGACGTCTGCTCCCTTTATTTGTCCGCGTGACGTCGCCGCCAGTGTGAACCCATTACGTCGTTCGGCGTTTAACGGCGTCAGAATGGAGCTACCAATAGCGGACACTGGACTGCATGACCATGCCGTTGTCTGCTCGGAGGTAACAACCAAATCGTCGCAGTCGGGTTTGTTCACGGGCACGCAGGAAGGCAGAAAGGGTCGCTTTGCGCAGGTACGCACGCGCATTCTTGGAGGCGGTTCTTACAAATGGCATTCGTGGCCCATTGGGGCTCGTTGCGCACTATGGGTGGTACATTCCGTATTTTGTTCATTGTTTTCAGGACAGTGTCGCGTCGCTGCGAAGTCAACCGACACGAAGTTCTTTTAACTGTAATATTTGGCGCCTTCGTTGTTTGTTGGGCTGTGCAGTTGTGTCGGCGTCGTCCCCCCGAAATTCGTCGTTAGGGTCTATCCACCAGAGGAACCATCACCGTTCTTTGTTCGTCAATGGAACAACAACAAAAAAAAAAAAAAGGTATCTTATTTCTTAAGACCCTAGCGACCTTCCACAGGAACCGCGTGTCCACGCACGTATGCTTTCGTGGCGAATGGGTGACCCTCGAGCGCTAAGTGAAATCGCCGACAGGGCGGATGTTTGACGAGCCTCTGCCAGCGGTGTTTGTTTGCCGCTCTGTTGAGAAGAGGCCCTCAGCGTGGTGCGATGAGCGGTAGAAAGTATTCCGGCAACGGAATGATGAACGAGTAAAGAATACGAGTCTTTAATAGCGTCTTTTTGTTTTAGTTTTAATTCGTGTATATTAGAAGAGGCCGACGATTTCTGTTTCACAACTTTGTACAGAATTAGAGGGCAGTGGTTTGTCCAAATATCGTCGTAGGCTCGGGGCCTGAGCGCGCTGGCGTCACGTGCAGAGGAACAGGCGTCTGCTTTTCAAAAACAAGTGCGGTGTGGTGTACCAGGCCTCGTCGGGGCGACACCTTCCCGTTTTTGCGGAGATCCTTAAATATGGCGGTGTCCCGCCAGCGATCGGGATAACGTCCACACTCCGGAGAAAAAGAAAAACACAAACTATTTTTGTAATACATGTAGTGGTTGTCCCGGCTGCTAGGCGGGACGTTCGCCCCCCCCCCCCCCTTCCCCCCTTTTTTTTTTCGCAAACCACCCCCCCTCCCCCTTTCCCCCGACATTCCCGGACTTCGCCTCCACCCCCAGCGACCCACGTGTGCGTGAGTGTGTATGTGTGTCTGCGTATTAGCTGCGCCCGCGTCAGAAGACAAAACGAAGATGTCGCTCCTCCCAGCCCAGCCCCGTGTTTCCTCAAGTGTGTGTTGCACTTCGAGCCAGGTACTTTGTACGCTCCGGAAGAACGCCGTTGTCGCCAAGGGAGACGGACGACAAGCACGACACCAAAAGCAGCCGCAGCAACAACATCGTGTTGAGCGATAATAAACGCAACTTTAGCCGATCCTGGCATCCGACTCGACACATCGTTTGGTTCGACAGGGCCACGCGACCGTCAACGGCCTCTCTGTCGCTTGCTCGTTCTAACGAAAGAATTCGCCAGAGCAGGATACGTTTGTATAGGCTCGTTTGATCTCTTATACTCTATAGTAGAATCATCATAGAACAGTGCTTAAAACGCTCCTCCAACTCCCGTGTTTATACCAATTAAGGTAAAGAAAAACAAAAACCAAGAACTTAGCTTTGTTCATGCTTCGTATTGAGTAAAAAGGAAGGTGATTAAAAAAATAGAAGTACTACATACAGTCCATGCGTTGGGAAGTGTCCTGGAGACAGGAAGGAAATGTGTAGCGGGAATCGCCGGCTGCATTGATTGTCACGATACTGTCAGTCTGTTGTAGAAGCTCCGGCAAGGAGGCTGACAGGACATAGGCGTCGCTGTCGTCGTGATGCCCGAGGCTGAGCTTGCTGGAGTTCCCGGCAACTGGTTCACTGGGCGGTCGCTCGGGGGCAGGCTAGGAGCCCAGTAAAATGTCCGCCTCCAGCACACCTCTGTAGCCTCCCGTCAAGTATTGGCTGAGCGTTTGTCGAAGTATTATTAAGGCGAAAGTCTCATATGTCTCATCGTTCAGTCGACTTCCTCGAGCGAAAACACGTCGGCGACACGAAAGGTACTAAAACGTTTAAGTGACCACACAGGCGAATTAGAGGCAACGAAATTAAGAAAGATGCCAAAGAATATTAAGAGGTATCAAAGGAAGGATGACAAAGCGAATTAAGAGGAAAAAAAGAACGCAAAACAAAGTAAATCATGCGTCTGTCTTTAATGGATCGGCGCTTGAGCTTTCGCCTTCGAATCGTCTTAGGGATAACATAAGAGACCCTGCGTTTTTTTTTTAAAGACAGAACGCTCGCGCTGGAGGCAGCGTCTCTACTGCATTCTTAACCTGCCACCGGATATTGGGCAGGAGATTGAACAGTCACGCCTCTTGCGGCACGCTTCAGCTGTGGGGACAATAGACCGAGTTTTCTCGTTTCTTTTTGATCAGCGATATCGATGGTAACGATTTGGATGGCCGCTCCTCGTGAAACCAAAGCACTGGTAAGAGTGAAGCGCTCGTGTCCAGACCGTGCATGGCGAGGTTCAATTTCTTTGTTATTTTGTGTTAGTAATTACCGGGCTGTGGGGACAACAAGCTCGATAAAGCCCCCCCTATAGTTCGATCTCGTGCCAAATATAGCCTAACAAACGTCTGCCGTTTCTTTTTTAGCTTTAAACGCATTATCAGCCCACTCATTCGCCCAACGACTTCCGTAGATTGCGGTCTTTGGCTCACCCAAGTGCTTTGCGGGAGAGCAGACACTTTAGATTTCTTAGAACGAGGCATTACGCCGTTGTAATGTCGCCTCACGGATACAGAAGGGAGAAAATACGGGCACGAAAAACCGCTAAAGATACACTAGTAAAAAGCACGTTCCACGCTCTGCAATAATAGAAAGGAACTCGTCTAGGCTATATAGAGTAATGGTGGCAAGTAACTGTTTAAATTATGACCATCTATATGGCAGAGTATAGCGATGTGTAGATTACTATGTTTTCCGAGGT